ACCAACATACACAAAACTTCTGTCCTCCTTTGGAAGTAACCACTGTTAGGTGTGTATCTTTCCATCTTTCATGATGCATCTACTAGCATTTAAATATTAATAGTGATTTTAAATTTTACAGAAATGTCCTCAGACTATGCATTCTTTTTCTGCTGCTCATGTTTTCACATCCTGTTAGCATGTGTTGCTCTGCCTCACCCCTGCCCATGGCTACATGATTTCCAGTGTGCGATGTACAACAGATGAAGCACTCCCTTATGGGCAGACTCTGGGTTGCTTCTAGTTTCTATTTCAGTATTACCAGTTTTGCTACAGTGAACAAACTTAGACATTTTTGTACAGTGGCATATGAGATCATCCTTTTTTAAAAAATGACTATGCCGGTGGCATTCTGGTTAAGGCAATTGGGGCCCTATGGTTGACTGTGCAGTTGAGTCACAGACCTGGCAGCTTGAAAAATACCCTGGGTGTGTGTACGTGTGTGCCCAAAATTCTGAGAGGAGAATGGAGAAGGGATTGGGGTGTGGCCATCACCTCTGGAGGGTGGTGTCTCACTTCCCTCTATTCCTTGTTCTCTCTGTCTCTAGCTGGCACATGCATGACAATTAAGGGAAAAAAAAGCTTTAAGATAATTTTTTAAAAACACTATGCCTTTTTTTTTTTTTTTTTTTTTTTTTTTTGAGAAAAAGCATTTCAGTGATTCTGAGAATCATCTGTCCTTTCCCTCACTGGCACAGATTGAAACTTTTGTCATGGGATTCTTTCAAGGCTCTGCTGGGCACTTGGAGCAAGGTAACAAGGGCCTAAGAGCCTTCTAGGGGCCTGCAGAAATGTTTGAGTCCTGAAGAAAAAAAAAAGTACTGGCTCTAACATAAAGTTTAAAAACTAATCAATGGAATTAAGTGGTGCAAAATGTACAATCCTGTAAGCTTAATTATTTAAAGGCAGTATTTACTTTTAAAAATATTTTTATCATACTATTCAGAGAAGAGTCACAGTCATAAAATAATCAAGATAGTTTAAAAAGCAAATTCTAAGGCCAGCAG